GCCATAACGTGTCATTTTCTGACCTACCTTAGCTTCTTGTTCAAAATAACTGTATTAGAAATAAGGCATATTGAATAGGCAGGGGCTATGGCATATGGAATTCCGTGATGTGCAGGATCAGGACACCCTCCTGAGGCCCTCCATGTTCTCTAGGCTTGATAAGACTTAGGTAGGCTCAAAGCCTGGCCACAGCTCTTGATTTACCTAGGTTCAGAAGATAACATTCTGAGCCTAGGTAACATTCTGAACCTTCCTTCTGGAAGATAACATTAAGCCAGCCACAGTGGGGATTGAGAGACTGAGAGCAGAGCAAAGTTGGGGAATTGAGCAAGATTAGGGAGGAGGAAAGCCCTGCTCCTGGAATGGAAAAACAGGCCTTTGAGAGGACATTTCTGGAGGCAAGAATTAGCTTGGCAAGGAGACCTGGGGTCAGCAGATAGCTGGGAAAGGACAGTGACTGGAGAAAGTTTGTGGCTATAGCTGAACCCCCTCCCTGGACCCTGTCAACCCTCACCCCCAATCTGTATTTCAGGCAATGTGTGTGCCCTGTAGGGATAGTGAACAGATTCATCCCCAGAAATTATGGGAAACTCCCACCCCCAAAGAATAAAAAAAAAAAGGTGAGAAAATCTCCTTATAGGCTCAGCACAGTGGTTATGTCACCAGCTACATAAACTGAGGCTGGCAGGTTCCAATTCAGCCTGGGACAGCTAACCAACAATGACAACTGCAACAAAAAAATAGCCAGGCATTGTGGCAAGTGCCTGTAATCCCAGCTTCTTGGGAGGCTGAGGCAAGAGAATTGCTTGAGCCCAAGAGTTTGAGGTTGCTGTGAGCTGTGATGCCATAGAACTCTACAGAGGGCAACACAGTGAAACTGTGCCTCAAAAAATAAATAAATAAATAATAAACTATAGGTTTACTATATTTTTATTTAGCCATTCCATTATGTTAGATTTTTCCAGTTTGGGCCAATGGCTATCTCTGTTCATAAAGTCTTTTCCAAATTTATTTCATTGAAATTATTGGCTAAAAGTTCTTTGTGATTTTTTTTTTTTTGAGACAGAGTCTCACGTTGTCACCCTTGGTAGAGTGCAGTTGTTGCAGGAAGATGAGGCCCAATAGAGAGAAAGAGCACCCAAACACCATGTTTATAAGAGGAAGGGCTTTATTCACCAGCCGGGAACTTAGCTTATGGCATAGAAGAATTCCAAATGGCCATGCTCCCCAACTGGCTTGGTCTTTCCCTTTTTATCGACAGTCAAAAAGTTCTACCCCACAGGTACCCTTCTCATTGGCTAATCTGAATCAAGCGGGAGATGCTATTCCAGCCCCTACAGAATTAAAGGATTTCACAGAACTTGGAAATTTCTAAGTTCCAGGAAGTTAAGTTTACAAATTCCCAAGCACTGAGTCATGATGGAGAGGACCCCGTAGGTGTATCCTTGTGGTCTCCTTGAGAAAACCTGTTCTCCTAGACCTCATCCTTCCCAGGTATCCTCTCTCATCATGGCATCATAGCTCACAGCAACCTCTAACTCTTGGGCTTAATCGATCCTCTTGCCTCAGCCTCCCAAGTAGCTGGGACTACAGGCACCCTCCACAATGCCTGGCTATTTTATAGAGACAGGGTCTCACTCTTGCTCAGACAGGTTTTGAACTCCTGACCTCAAGCAATCCACCTGCCTCAGCCTCTCTGTTTACCTTTTGAAAAAGTTTTAAATTGTGGCAAAATACTCTTCACATAAAATTACCATTTTTTTTTGTTTGTTTGTTTTTTTTTT